GAAAGCCAATAAATGCCTTTTAAAAGTAGTAAATACTAGAGCATAAAGGTAGTTTGGAGGGTAATGTGAAAGGTAATAAATTTACTGCACTTGATCTGAGTGAATCTCTTGAAATCTATTTTGTCCTATATTTTAATTAGGGAAATGTGATTTTACAAATGAATACATAGAAGGAAAAAAATCCCCGTAATTCAAATAAGTTACTTTGAGTTTTGTCTGTTTCGAAGTACAACAGTTCATCCCATTCACTGGGAAGATTTGCTCATACCTGTTTGAAATAGCTGGTAACTGGCTCTTTTAAAGGCTTATTTCTGAAACGATACAAAGCCTACAAATCATACAAAGGCAACAGCTACGTGGGCAGAATTGAACATGGGGGAATAGTAGGTATGTTGTATGAAGAGTGTAAAAACCCTTTGCAAGAGTTGGTTTTAGAAGACCAGTCTGTGGTTCTCAATATGTTGCCTTTCATCAGTTTCAAAAATAAAGGAATTTAGCTTTGAAAAGTTTTTCTTCAGGTGGGGGAAAAAATAGGGGAAACAAGTACTTAGAGTTCATGTAAAATGAAATGCTTAACTTTGAAAGTATGTGTAGTTGTAAACAGACCAGAAAGTTCCATTTTGTTCCATTAATTCCTGTGCTGTGAAGTGAACCTTGTTATAAAAATCTCTTCAGCCAATTTTCAGGTACTGATTCCTGTGTACTTGTAGCTCGTGTAGGTGCATTAAACACAGAATAGCTTTGTGCTCCAACTCTTCTACTGATACAACCTTTTTTCTCTTTAAAGGTCAGTCCTATGAAATCCGGATGCTAGATAATCGAAAAGCTGGAGACATACCAGAGATCAATGGCAAACTGGTGAAGGTGAGCTCTTCTCTACATCGTGTTACTAACAAACCCCAGCTGGCTGCATGTGAAAAGAGGAGGTTTTAAGCTTTTATTGTACTCTGATTCACGGAGGAAGGTGGATCAGCCAATCTGAGCAATAAAGAAAATAGGCACAGTGGAACCTAATGCCTAGTTTTGTTGGTTTATTTCAGGTTTGCTACAAATTAAAAGAATCTATGTGTATTCATTTCCCCATTTCTGAATGGGTCGATTTCATGTAGTTTTAGGTAACTAAAGGTGAGCCAATCGCTCCATGTACCCTTTATGAGGTCTGCAGTCTGATCTATTTTAAGATGAGGTGAATCTCCACTAAGTGTGCCCATGTCTTTCTGCTGAGTAAAAGGCAGCTGTGGTAACAGTGATCTCAAATTGAAGTATCTAAAGTTGGGTGAGAGAAATTCAATCTAGAGACTGTACATTTTATGGAATTTTTTTTTTCTGCTGTCACTGCTCAGAATGACTATTGACCAGGGATATTTAAAAAAAAAGTAGGAATATGAAGAATATGAACACTCAGAATATGAATACTCAGCACTACCTTGTGCGTAGTGAAGACTGAATTATTTTATGCAAAGCTTAAGATACGTAGTTGTCTGTAGATTTGTATTTAACATCATCTGAGCCATTTCATTTTCCATTTCAAGTGGATTAGGAGATGTGGAAGGAAGCGAGAGGATCATTTAGAAAGAAGTGGACCTATTATGAGCATGTTTCTGAATAGGTGTTATGGAAGGAACGTTGAGCCAGCCTATGTATTTTGCAGCAATGGAATAGTGGCACATAGGAGATACATCTATAGCTGTAGTTTTGCTGCTTCTTGAGCAGTTTGTTCCATAGCTGAGCTCCTGTTCCTAACTCCAGATTTGTCTCCTTGTGCTTTGATGTTAGCAGAAGGTACTGTGGATCTGAGATACTGCACAAAGTATAAGAGTGAGGTAGACTGAAAAATGTCCAGTTCATGGTACAGGTCATTATAGGAACTGCTGGAGGGTAGGGAGATGGACTTTTCTTATAAACATCTGACAGTTTTACTAAATTTTCTGAAAACTCTTAATCATGTGTTGGGGAAGAAGGAAAAATACTTCAATTAAAGGCACTTTGATAGTGGTACTGATAAGTTCACCAGAACAATGTGCCTGTGGAAGGCTGAGCCTTCACCTGTCAACTTTGGCCTGTATAATTTGTGAACATTGGCTGGCTTATACAGTCCTATGCCTTGTTCTTACTTGTCTGTGGGGTGCTTGTTCAGAGAGAATTTCAGGAAGCGTTAAGCACAAGTATAAAACTGGGATTTGTGTGTTCTGTAATTAAACCTTTTAACGGCCTGGCATGTTGACTTGCTGTAATGAGCATGTTGACTGTTTTGCCCCCCGTAGTTGCTATTTCCTTGTAGCTTTGGGAAATCTCTGCTGTAATCTTACAGGTTCATATATTGGTGATGAGCCATTTGGTAGGTAAAATAGGACAAAGCAGTGTAAAAGTTTAAAAAAGTAAATGTTATCCTAGCAAGGCATTGTAATGCTGCATCAACAAAACTTCCATTTTAAATGGAAGTATCCCAGTATTATACTTAAATACTGTATCCCAGTATTTCCATAAAGAGGACATTTTGTGTCGGTGCAGGTGGCTGCAGATATTTCCAAGTTCCAAACCTGCCAGTTTGCAGTGAAAAAGGCACAGTGTGTGTGTGTGCATGCACATGTGCTTCCTGTTATCTTCCAAGTGAAACCAAGGAAATGCAGTGTGGCTGGAGGAGCCACTTCATTTAAAAGTTTTTGGGGTTTTTTTGACCACTTTTATCCACTGTTAATACAAGTGAGACTGGAGACTAATGGTAAAAAATGACACTTTTTAAAAGCTTGTCTGTTTTGTTTGTTCAGTAGCAATTCATGCATAAAAATTTTTTCCCTTCTGTATAACAAATAGTTTTGCATGTGCATTCACGCAGCAGAACAGAAACCTTTCCCTAATATGACTGAGAGAACAGTCGTAGCAGGACTGGTTGCAAAAATAAGTCTTGTTGACTATTTGCTTCTAGCTGAATAAAGTTAATCATATCGTAGTATTTTTACATTAATATTTCAGCTAGAATAGGTGGAATAGTTTGGAAGTTTATTTCTTCTTACTAGTAATGAAAATAATAGATTTGTTGTAAATAGGTTTATAAGTATCAGGAAGGGATTTTTCTATTAATTTTATTTTTAAATTTTTCTACGAAACTCACAAAATTCCCAGTGAAAACGATGGTCTGGCTATTTTCATCACTTTTCAGAGTAAATTAGGTCTTTGGTGTTTATTTTCTAAAATAAGTCTGTGTTGCCTACACAATGTTGATACCGTGCAGTCAGTGTTGCTCAGTTCACCACGTGTAATTCATACTGACCTTTAGAATATGCAGTCAGGTGTCATTCTCTTTTGCATTTTTACCACATTTTTTAATATCTCCTGCTGCTCAGTTCTATTTCTGTGTTCCTGAATATTTTGGGATACTGATGGTTGCCAAATTTTTTGATGTAAATATGTGCTTATCAGCACTGTGGTTATTGTGGTATGTTCTAGTGCTTTATATTGAGGCTGTTTCTAAACATATAGTAACCTTGTGGCTCATCAGATGCTTGTTTTCTCCTTTGTTAGAGTATTATAAGAGTTGTGTTCCATGACAGAAGGTTGCAATATACAGAACACCAGCAGCTCGAAGGTTGGAAGTGGAACCGCCCTGGGGACAGACTTCTTGATTTAGGTATAATTGTTTTATCTGTTGCCACTGTATGAAATTCAGTTGCCAAATTTAAATTGATCATGGTTACATTTATGCTAGAGCTGGTGAAAAAGCACAGACCAGTTTTATGTGCTGCTTTGTCATAGTCTGTATTTTGAATATAAATGTTCTTACCACTTTCACATGCCTTTTAAACCTCTAAGTGCTGCAGAAGTGAGATAGCAACTCTGCAGCCTTATACATTTAGTAATCATTCTGATTTAAAATATTATGGCAATTAGGAAAACACAGACAAAAGTAACTTTCTTTATTAGACTGTGGAAATGACACCAACATGGTTTCTTTATTTTGCATAACTATTTTTGTTGCACAAGCTGGGGGGGGGGGGGGGGGGGGAATCAAAAAAACTCCTCCAAACCCTGAGCACTTTGTATGTTGTCTAGTAAATTCCTTCAGATTAGTCCACAGAAAATGTTTTGGGCTAATGGCCAGGCCACCAAAGCCAACGTTTTTTCACCCTACCTGTGTTTGCTGCTGATAACCTTATATTAAAATTTATTTCTGGTGTTTTTCTGGAATATTAATTTTTTAAAAATATATACTATTTATTTTAATGTAGATATTCCAATGTCTGTTGGAGTCATTGATATCAAGACAAATCCAAGCCAGCTCAATGCAGTTGAATTTTTGTGGGATCCAACAAAATGTACATCTGCTTTTATTCAGGTTTGAAACTTTACTTGACTGGATGTTTGTGTTTGGTGCCTTTCAGGTCACAAACAGTAGTATATTTGCACTATGAAACTTCTTGATTTCTTATTTGTGGGATGGCCATTAAATACCAGCTTTGTAAAAAGCACAGGTTCATAGCAACTGGTAGTTCTAGAAGGTTTCCTAGTTTCCCAGTTTATAAAAGCATCTTTTAAAAACAATTTAAATAAAAAGCTTTCAAAAGGCTCTTTGCAGAAAGCTGCCATGGTTAAAATGTTTAATTATATGGAGTATTAGAATTAGTTTTTAACCCTCTAAATAACTGTCACTACTTTTTTGTGTGGTTTTTAGTAGAGAGGCCCACTCTTCCAGTGGTGAGCTTCAGCAGAGGCTTGGCTTGAGGGTACAAAATGAAAATTAATGTGCTCCAGAGTTTTAAATCAGATGTTCAAAGACATTTCTTACTATGGCACTAGGCTTCCTTGGAGGAGGATTTTTATTATTTATGTATTTGATATTCAGGGCTTTCTCTGGAAATAATTTAGATAGAATGTTTGGTTTTGCATTGGAATTTTTAGCTTACTTTTGTCTCAGCTCTGTTTTTATTACGGAGAAAAAGTATAAAGTTTGAATAGCAGAATTTCTTACTGAGGCTGCTAAAATAGATTAAATTCCACATTGTCAGTAAATTAACTTTGATCAGGTGCAGCTGAAGACATTTTTAGTGAGAATTACACAAGTACTAAAAAATAGTCTCCTTGAAGAAGTGAGAGATAAAGTATTGAATATTTTTGTTTGTTCAGTTCCTTAGAAGTGGTGAGAGAGTGAGCAAAAATTGAACTGATTCTTATTATGCAAGTAAAGTTCACTTATTTAAAGGCTAGAAAACACAGCATAGTGGCACTGACTACACTGAAAGCTTCACTTTCCAGTCTGTGGTTCTCTGTGTTGATGGCCACAGGAAATAAAAAGATAGTACTGTAGTCATTGAGAGTGCAAGGTATGCCATTATCCATCCTGCTTGGCCCACTTAAAATGCCATAAGGAAGCAAAAAAAAATGGGGAGCACTGTCTAATGAGATTCATTGTAACTTTTTCTGTTACGCTGATTTTCTCCTTGGATATCTTTTAGGGGTATTTCTAGTTTATGAACCCAGTCTTTAGGCTGATGGAGCACTTGAGGCAATTACATATGGGTTAAGAAGTCTCCTGACTTTTATAGGAAGTTGGGCGTATTTGAAAATAGGCTGATTTCACATGCAGTTAAAAACCCTCCCAGTCAGTGACCTTCTGTGGCTTTGGTAATATTTATTATAAGTAAATCTGAAGTTTATCCTAGCTATAATGCATTGAACAATAGCATCCTGAAAACGTTTTTGTTATATTCACGATAGAAGTAGTTGTCATCCACACACATTTTTCTTAATATCCTGCAAGTTCTCATTCAATAAGAATCTTTAATGACTTCTGCTTTTGGGAGAGATTTTGGTGACACACTTGTTTCCCCTCTTCCCTGTCAGCTAAAATGTAATGGTTTTGGCTTGGTTTGCATATGGGCATGAAAAGGAATGAAACATTAGTCAGGCAGCTTGGTCCTCAGATAGGCTGAGTAATTTGTTACTTGTCCTTAGAAAATGTATATGATGTTGGTAACACGTAATAAAATGCGTGTCTAGAATACTTCTGAGGGTCCTTTTTGTTTGGTTGTTCATTTTTCCAGGTACATTGTATCAGCACTGAATTTACCCCTCGTAAACATGGAGGAGAGAAAGGAGTTCCTTTTAGGATTCAGGTTGACACTTTTAAACAGACTGAAAATGGAGAATATACAGATCACCTGCATTCAGCCAGTTGTCAAATCAAAGTTTTTAAGGTAACAGTAGAAAACAGATAATAAAATAAAATTTAAAAATATAAAATAAGTCTCTCAGAAGCTCTCATAAAGATGGGGGACCTGTTTATATTACTGCTTGACTTCTGAGATCAGATTTCACTTATAAAACCATTCTCCACCTGTGTTCTTGCTCATGTAACTGTTCATTTTTAGCCAAAAGGAGCAGACAGGAAACAGAAAACAGACAGAGAAAAGATGGAAAAGCGAACTGCACATGAAAAAGAAAAGTATCAGCCTTCATATGACACCACAGTTCTCACAGAGGTAACAAAATAGAATTGCATCTGCTTAACTGAGGAGAGAATACAGAGATACAGTGTATAACTCAGCTGCAGTCTTGGAAGGGCTGGGGAAGAAGGAGTTCTACACAAAGATAAGCTTTTTATTTGACAAACTTGTCCAGGGAACAGCAACATTAAATTTTAAGTTTTTGTTTAGTAAAATTTCATTTACATACTCGATTGATGCTTGTATTAAAACACACTAAGATTGAACACTGACTGTACTGAGCTCTAAGGCAAGTCTTTTGGCACAGATCTAAAAACCTTGCTTTTGAAAAGAAAAAAAAAAAGGAGGGGGGGGTGGAATCTATAATTTAATTATCTGCCAGATTTGAGTTCCAGAGTGTATTTTTTGGAGATTACTGAATTTAAGGCCAGAGCCTCAGTAGGTTTTCACATTTTATTTAAACATCAGTGAGTTCTATGCAGTTTTCTAAAGGTTTCAGAATTTTTTAAAAGGCTTTTAGATCTTTCCTCACTGTATAATGAAAAGAAATTGATCCAAATCTTTGGTGTTTGTCCAGATGAGGCTTGAGCCTATAATTGAAGATGCAGTTGAACATGAGCAGAAAAAGTCCAGCAAGCGGACTTTGCCAGCAGACTACGGTGATTCTCTGGCAAAGCGAGGCAGTGTAAGGGACTTCTGCTTACCTTTTCATTGTGCAAGATACCTTGTGCAGTGTTAGATATAGGAGAAACTTCCATTATATAAAGTAAAAATATTTTGATTGCTGTGTCTTAATTTTATTCACTTTTATGCATACCAATTAGTCCATGGTTGTTTTCAGCAAAGGAATCCTTCCTAAATCTAACACTTGAAAACTGTTGCAGAGGGACTGTGTAACTTGTAAAAGTCAAGAGCTTTCCATTTATGTGCCTTTAAATGAAATAGCTTTTTGCTTTCCTGTATGTGTGTAATTAGCAAGAACAGCGAAATAACAGTGAAATTTAGTGTTTTGTTCCATATTTGTACTTACATTCAATATAAGTTTCCGTGCACATCAGTATTTTTAAAATACCATGTAGTGTTGCAGATGGTTGATCGTTAGTTACTGATTTTTCCTTTAGCCATCTACATATAGTGCTCCAAGCAGGTTTAATGCCATTCAGAAGAGTCACCACATCATCGTGACATGTGCACACTAACCCTGTATGTGCCCCCCAAATGAATGTAGCATTTATACTGTGCACTCCTCTTGTCACCAGTTAGCATTTTAGATATTTTAAATACTGTTTCTGAAGCTGAATATCATTGAGACTTTACAGTTTTCAGATGAGAAACAATCCTGCATCTTCCATTTGGCAAGTTTAAATGTCAATTAATGATGTGACTGTGGAAGACAATTATTTGACTGTTCTTTGAACAGGCATATTGTGCTGACAGCTATTTTCCCAGCATTGTTTAGGCAGTGACTATCTGACTCTCATCCCTCAGATGTTATTTAGTTTGTATTTATGGTCTGTGAAAGTGATGTATTGTAAGGTTTAGGTTATAAAATACCTCAGTGTATGCCTCTTGTTGTTTATAAGCCATGTAACTGGGTGGAAGGGAACAAGCAATATTATGTAAGATGGGTTCTTCACAGGGTTTTTTTGCCCCCTGAAACTGCTATAAGCACTGAGCTGTCTATATTTACCTTCTACTTTTCTTGGTTGTTGGGTTGGTTTTTTTTTTTACTGTTTCTTTTACGACTCACCTTTAGCATTCTTTGGCAGTGCAGACATTGTTTTATTTGTTCCAAATGGCCCAGGAGGAGGGCAGTGTAGACAGGAGAAAACAGGATTTTATCACTTTCACTTATTAAGCACATCTGAAGCATCTTTTGAAGCTGGTCCTTGGAGGGATTTCTACTTTTTTCTTTTTTTTCCCCCCATGCTTTCTTCTCTTTCTGTTGTTATAAGTACTTCATTGAATGATTGTTGCTTATAGGAAGAATAATAGAAAAAGGTATTTTAAAAATATGAGAAATCCCTTGTCCAGAGTAGGACAAACTGTAGCCAAATGACACCTGAAAGTTGTCTTAACTTGTTCTTAACAATCTCTTGGCCTCTATGAATGGGAGCATTACCTTAATTGCTGTGAAGAAAAACGGAGGTAGGACAGGTTGTGCTGGACTTCTAATGCCTTTCCCAAAGGATAAAAATGAGAGTGTGTGTTTCTTTCTTCACTTCTTGCTTGGGAGGACGGATGACCCACAGGCTAATTTGGAATAACAGCTCTGTACAGCTTTCCATTTCTCTTAATTTTGCAGCTGACTGTCTCTGTTTTGCTTTTGTCTGTGATACAATTCTATCTTGAGATCATTTGGTCAGTTTGTTGACACCATTTTGAATTTTATTCCTGTAGGATGAAATGCTTTCAGCCTTGCTAACTTGGTATCATTAGCAGATTTAACACACAACCTGTTCCATCATGACAATGACTTTTATCATTAGCAGAATTATTAGAAATCACCACGCCTATAAAAAAAAATACCATGAAGCACTATTTTTGCAGTATTCATAGTGAAACCTTGGTAATCACTCTACATTTATTAAGTACTATTTTTAACTGTGTGAGTGTACAACTTGTTTGCTTGACCTAGAAAAGGAATGTCTGATCTACAGCTTGAAGGCCAACTCATCAGCCTTTTTCTCTTGTCACCAGACAGGCTTATTCTTGTGGGCCTTGTAAATATAGACAGGGAATGATACATGGTTCAGCTCAGAGCAGTTCTCTCCTTGCAAATCTGCCTTCCCAAGTGTAGCCATCAGAAGGTCTGGCTGTTGTCAGACTTACCTCATACCTGCAGGTGAAATGTACCGCGTTTGCAGTGCAGCCATCACAGGGGGGCTCAGGCACAAAAACTAAAGACCTGCTTTTGAGAATTGACACTGTTACACATATTATGATGGTTCTTGTACTTCACATGTGCTAGGAACTGTGGCTCTGTTACAGAAGGAAAACAGGATTGTTTGGAGTGTATTTTTCTCAACAAAGTTGTGAGTGTTGGCTGTTAATTAGCCAGTGCTGCTCTCTAGATGCTCAGAAATAGTTTTTTTGTTACATTTTCTTGAATCCCAGAAATTTAGGTTGATCCAGTCTGTAGTTCTCTTCCTTTTTAAAACTGCGTATTGTTATCTTCCTCCTACCCCTAACCTATTATATAGACTGTCTTTTCTGCTCCTTGCTTTTTTGCATCTCATTTTGTACGTTGGCTTTTTTATTTTGCCCCTCCAAGATCCTGGTGTTCTATTTGCTGAATATTTCTGTGTTGTGATTTTAACCTTGCAGGCAGCTAAACACCACCTTGAAACCAGGACAGTCTATTTTTTTTTTTAATCCCCCCCCACCCCCTGTATGATTTCTTCCAGCTTAGCCACAATCTGATTTGGACAGATTGGTTTCTTACTGTGCTTTCTTCAGGAAACTTTGAATCTAATATATTTTCTTTCCAATGTAATTCATACGGGATTCTAACACAAGACAAAGAGTTTGGTGAAGCTTCCTTTCTGAATGGTCATTCTGCTCTGCTCTTCTGTCCTTTCCTGAGAACCAGATAGATACATTTTTCCATTACTCATTTTTATTCATCTGACATTTCAAACTTTGGTGCATTCAGTGCAATTTCTGCAGTGTTTATCTCAGTATTTTCCAGACAGACAGACGTGTAGTTAACTGCTCCTTGAGACAAACTCTCTCTCGTGCTGTGGAGCATTGATTTTTTTCTGTAGAGATAAAAGGCTACAAACTTAACGCCGCCTTCTGGACCTCAGAGTAGATGTTCATGTATAGGTGACCTTCATCCAGGGCCCATTTTATGAAGGAACCACTTTATTTTTTCCTCTCTTCCAAATGTACAGAAGCTAGAGCTTCTCTAAGGAAGAAGAGAAAAAACCACACCAGATTCTTTCCCCTGCTTTGAATTTGAAAAAGCAGACAAATTTGTAGTGTGATAGTTAGATCTTTGCACTTTTTTCTCTTAAGCAACATCTTGGTTGATTTTTATATTAGCATATATTATATGTCACAAGCTAGAATATATAAAGCTACAATTTGATTAACTTGGTCAAATGGTCATTTTTTTTTTGCAGATAGAGCTGATTATAGGGCACATGGAATTTAGAAGATTTCCAGGTATAAACCTTGAAATAAATTGGAACATGAAAGATTGGTGCAGAAGTTAAATATTCTCTGTAAGTGACTTAAATTTAGAATATAAAACCTTCTAGAGGCTCTGAGAGTCAGGGAGTGGAGCTGGGGCAAAACTAATTTAGTGATGTAAGCATATAGTATTTCTCCTCATGTATATCTGTACTTCATAGAGCAGTATCAGTACCGTACAGATACATGTGGGTGACTTCACATTATGGGAATAACTTATTTACTTCTGCATTCAGAATAATTAAGTGTATATGAGCAGAAGTTGTTTGCTTTTGCCAACAACAGCTGCAGTTGTTTGGGGCAAGAACCCTGTATTTTATAGGTTCCTTGAAAAAGCTCTGTCCCATGTGTGATAGAGTTGCTGCCCTGTTCTCTAAAGATGATGCTGTGTGCCCGAGTAGAATAAACCTCATTTGGAGAATAAATGTTTTGTTGTCATGTTGATTTGGTATTTCAATATAGCATGAGGTTCTTTGCCAGAGTTCAGTTTTACTGTCTTGTAAAGCATGAACTTGGGCAGATTTGAGTAGATTGGAAGTAGGAACGGAAATGACATTCAACAGTGGCTTAGAATAACTTGAGTTTTTGCAATTCTTCAGACTTCAGGAACATTCTGCATTTAAATGCTACATATCCTGAGTTTAAAAGGTCATACATAGTTAGAAAGATTTCCTGTCTTCCTTTTTAACTCAGTAAAATCATTGGTCAGCACTTTATAACTTCATTCATGTCCTACACAGAAGAATGTTAAAGATCTGAAGCCAAAATAATTTTCTCCTTTTCAAGAATTAATCCGTGTTTGGCAATAAAGGGCTCATGTCTGGAATGCAGTTGCATGAGTGGTATCGTATCGGTGTGCTAGTAATGGGGGACAGTCTTGAGACCTCACATCAGCTTCTTTGCAAGTTTACCCGTCTATATTCCTTGTTCATGACAGGTAAAGGTATAATGCCAGTCTTTGTTCTGTTCTGTGATGGCTTATTAGAGAGTTGGATGCTTCCTTGTGACAGAGTGACATTTTTCTTTTAAGTTTATATCCAGTGGCCAGGGACTTCTGTATTAGCATCATGAGCTTGCTGAATGTCCTCCGGTTAACTGCGTTTGGGGCTTAAGAATAGAAGAAATATCCTGATGGATCAGACCACCAGTCTGCAGAGTCCAGGGCTCTGTTGCTGGCAGCTGCTGTTTGAAGGAAGGCTGCAGCAGGGAACCCTGTGCACTCTTCTGGGATCCACTCCCCTCGTAACCCCCCAGTGTCCAGAATCATCATGCAGGATGTTAGAAAGCACATCCCTGCTTTGTCTTCTCAGTGTTAGTGGGTTTGATACCCAGGAATTTGTCTCCTCCTGTGTCTGAACGTGATGTTTTTGTGAGGTGTGGGACAGTTCTGCATGTGAGTGATACCAACAGCATAAGCAGATCAGGCTAATTGCTAGAAGACACTTGGAGAATATATTGTAGCCTTTTTTTTTTATGTTAGGCTTTTTTGTTCCTTGAGCCTTTCAGAATTAAGTATCTCGGTGCTCAGACACTCATTTTTCCTTCCACAATTTTGCTGGAAGAGGAGACAAGGCAGGAAAGTGTGTTTATAGAAGAAAGGTGACTTGGTTTGGGTTGGGATTTTCTTTTTCTAAATATTTCAAATGCACATCTTTCCTGCGTTTTAAACTCAAGTTTTCTTGTGAACAGCTTCAGCTGAGTTTGAAGGACAGAAACAGTAACTGCAGGACATGCCTTGGGAATGGCTCAGAAAGCTGTTCTCTGACACCAGTGTGTTCTTCCCTACCCCTGAATTTAAATATATGCTAAACAGAATCTTGTAATGTAATAATGGCTAAGGATGGACAGCATCTGTGTGCCCAGATAAATATCTTGCATTAAAATTTAGGGAGAGAATGTCAGAAAATTCAAGAAAATTAATTAAGCTTTCAAAATTACTTCAGAAGAACAAAATTAATATGATTGTGTTGAGCTTCTATTTTAAAGTTTTGGCTTTGGACCACAGAATTAGGGAATGAAGGACTATTTTATCTACCTGTTGTAATACAGCATTCTTGAGATAAACATTAAAATGAGCTTGAGAAGAGAGGGAACAGATGGGAATATCCAGAGTAGGAAGAAGAGCAGGTAACAGCAGGAGGTCACTGGAGAGCATGCTTTGTGTGGATGCTCCTCGTCCAAAGGGTGGCTTTGGTTTTTTTTGTAATCAGAGGCAGTGTGTATGCAGTGGCAAGCGAAATACTGATTTGAATCAGATCTCAGATGAAGAATTTCCTAATTTTTAAGCTATTGGCATGCAAGATTAATTTTTTTAAATTGTATGCGCCGTGCTGGGGAACTTGTAACTTACTCTGGTGAGTTCCCCGCCCTCCTCCTCCCCGTGCCGTGAGGCTGTGGTGTAACTGGGAATTTCCTTACAGGGTATTTAGCTGATGCATGATAAGTATATCAGAAATCCTGTTGTTTTAACAGACATCATCTTAGCTTACTTTATCTTGGGCAACTTGCTTGTTTCAATCTTGTCTGTTTGTCTTTGAATATAGCAAAATCTGTTTGATTTTTATTTTTCTTTAAAATACTGAATTTGCAATGGTACTGGAAACAATAAAAGCTAGTCTCATTTTGAAGGGCTTTTATCGTGGTGGTTTAAAAAAAATACCCAAAAAAGACTGACTAAATTGGACAGCTGGCTCATAATATACTTGTGATGACTTAAATTAATGTATAAGAATTCCAGTTTACCAGGCAGTTTGGGGAAGGTAGTACATGGTAAGCATCACTTTAGTCCTGCTGCAAATTAACACCAATTTTCAACTCACAAAATTTCTGCCAAAAAGTTGCGTTTGTGTTTAACAGCTGTCAGAGCAGATACATTAAATTTATCCACCAGGTGAAATCTAACGTCACAGTTTTCCACACCATTGCTGAACACCGATGGTGAAGTCACGATCCCTGCAGTGGAAACAGCCCCTTCATTCATTCATTAGGATGAAAGAAGTTTTTTCAGCAGATGGCTTGGGGTGGGTTGGTTGGTTGGTTTGTTTTACACTGAGTAATCTGTAACAGGTCTTCTGTCAGTTCCACCACCAATACCTTCACTTTGTTAACAGAAGACAGTATAAATAAGAGTCTTCTCGAAAGAACAAGATAAAACAAAACTGATTTTTGCCTGGAGTATCTGCATGTAATGTGTGGGATGGAGGGAATCCTTACTTGGAATTACAGATCAAAATTCTGTGTGGAAAAAAACCCTGCCTTTAAGTGAAACAACTGTGCATCAGAGTAAAAAAAATGTATTTCCAAGAGAAGCTTAAGTTTTAATTCTTTATCTTCAGTGCTCACCATGGCCTGATACTCCTACAACATTTGTAAACAACAGTCCTACTCCTGCTCCAACTTTTACCTCTGCTCAACATAATACCTACAGTGTCCCAGACAGGTAGGTTTCTTTTCTCTCTATCCTAATTCAAGATAACATTTTAAAATCAGGCTTATTCAGAAGTGTTTCCTGAGTAAATCTAGGAGCTTGCAACTCTTTTCTGATTCCACTGAGAAAGGAGAGATTGTTTTGACCTATTTGAGTATTATTTGAGTTTGACACTTGCATTGTGTAATTCAGTTACAATGTAATTACTTCTGCATCAGCACTTTTCGTTCTCACTTTGCATTGTTGGAAACTTTTCTTCTTGTCCTTTGCAATATAGCAAATACTTTACCTTTTAACTATTCTAATTTAGTCCTTGCCCATGAAAACCATTTGGTTTTTTTCAGTAAGAACAGTCTTTGCTCCTCTCATACACAGTTAATATAATTTACAATTAAAAATCCCAGCAATAATCTTTACAAGCTTTCCAACAGAAATTGTATTGGTAAGAAACATTTTGTATGGAGGCATTAATTAAACTATTGTAATTCCACTTGAGCGATCAAGGAATGATTTACAGTGGTACTGTCTGGTCTGTGTACTTCTGGCTTGTCTGCCTTGTATTTTAGTACCTCAGTCACCCTTTGAGACAGACAAGTGGCCATATAACTCCTGTGACTGCTGGTAAAGCTGCTTCTCCAGTTAGGAAGGAATACAGAGGATTGGAGCCAGATGACTTGCATAGAGAAGTGGGATGCTCTTTCTCTTGAGTTTAACTTAGTTTAAACTCAGGTTTCACTCTGTGCAGCATTAAATTTGTCTTTCAATAGTGATATATGTTGGTTTGGGGAATTTAAAGTTATTTTTCAGCAATGCTTGAATATTTTGCTTAATAAAACTCTAGTAATACTACTTTTTAATTTTTTTTTTACTCTTTAGCAATTCTTCATCCCCAAATCATCAAGGAGATGGAACCTCTCAAGGATCTGGAGAGGTGAGTGTTTACTTTCTGCTATTGATCATGGCTATATTTGTATACTTGTGACAGAACATTCAGTTTATACATAATTTAATAGGTGCTGAGGAAGTGTTTAACTGAGGGAGGTTTTTCAATGGTTTGGGGTTTTTTTAAAATACCTAAATTATCATATCCAATCTTGTTTCTTACAGCAGCTTCATCCTTCAGCCACAATCCAGGAAACTCAGCAATGGTTGCTCAAGCATAGGTTCTCTACCTATACAAGGCTTTTTTCAAATTTCTCAGGTATCTATAGTTTACTTTTTTAATTAGAGTCTTTCTTTGTGTTAGTGAGCAACTTCTGTGTGGGGAAAATAATTATCTAAAACCAATATGGCATTGCTATTTATTGTACTTTGCTAATTTGCATATTAAATGTTCAGTTTGCATTGGAAGGTATTTTTTTCTAGTTGCATTTTGTACAAATTTACCCTAAAACCCTTCTTGTACCCCCTTGCTTCTTGTATCGCGATTGCTAAGCTTTCTCAGTGAACTTTAGTACCAAATTTCTGACAGACTCTTGGAAAACTTCTAAAGCAGTTCTTCTTTTTCATCATTATCTTTATATGTTTATCAAAGTCAAACACTAACTGCCTGAGAGATTTTCTTTGAAACAAAAGGTGTAGTGTAGCTTTTAATTATATTTCTTCAGGTGTGGTGGGTTTTTTTATTCTAGTACATACGGGGTATGATGACAAATTATTTTTGTTGGCTTCCACCTGTGCATTCCGACTCCATGTGGAGTCTGCTCCACAGATAATCTTCTTTTTTTCCCCTTCTTCCCCTCATCTGTTACAGTGACTGGTTTTCTGTACTGTTGTTTACTTTGTTGACACCTGTGCTGCTCCATTTTGTGTTTAGATCTGCTTAGTATCTTTTCTTGAAGCTTCATTTACTAAAGTAAATGTTCTGGGAAGCAGTTGATTTCACAGATCACTTATTCCCAGCATTAATTATAAAAAAAGCAGAACAAACCCTACTGCTTTTGGATGGAAGTATTCCACACCCTGGATTCTCTCCATAGGCTGCTGCTGTGCTGATGTGACCACATGGATGTAGTTATGCCAGCCTACTTGTAATAACTTCAGTGCAGAGAGGGTGTGATGCTTTAGTTGAATGCCTGGGATGATTCCAGAGGAGGCCACCAGGATGATCTGAGGGCTGGAGCACCTCTCCTATGAGGACAGGCTGAAAGAGTTGGGGCTGTTCAGCCTGGAGAAGAGAAGGCTCTGGGGAGATCTTATAGCGGCCTCCCAGTACCTGAAGGGGCTACAAGAAAGCTGGGGAGGGACTTTTCATAAGGGCAGTTAATGGCAAAACAAGGGGAAATGGGTTTAAGCTGAAAGAGGGGAGGTTTAGATTAGATATTAGGAAGAAGTTTTTCACTGTGAGGGTGGTCAGACACTGGAACAGGTTGCCCAAGGAAGCTGTGGCTGCTCCTCCCTGGAAGTGTTTAAGGCCAGGTTGGATGAGGCTTTGAGCAACCTGGTCTAGTGGGAGGTGTCCCTGCTGATGGCAGGGGGGTTGGAACTGGATGAGCTTTAAGGTCCCTTCCAACCCAAACCAGTCTGGGATTCTGTGATTCCTTGAGCGAGAAACCATCAAATATCTTTGCTCTGTATTTTGCATGTGTTTAAAATACACTCACCTGGGTGTCAGTTACAACTTTGAGTCATTTAAGCCATTGTCTGGATATAGAAGCATCATCTGTCTCCACAGAAATTGTGTGCCTTGCAGCCTCAGTACTGTCTTGAAGATGTGGACAGCACCAAGTGAAACTAACAACTCTTGGAAAGCCACTCGTTTTCCTGAGTGTTAGCTGGTGCCTACTCTAAGTTTTGCTGCTTGTTCATGTTTGCAGGATTCCATTTTTATAATGGTGGAGCTTGTTATTCTTGGTTTAAATGAACATACAATTTATTTTAAAAAGTATAGATGTTCTAAAATAATCTTTGTAAAATCCTCACGTGTTTCTCCAGGTGCTGATTTATTAAAGCTGACAAGAGAAGATCTGGTACAAATCTGTGGTCCAGCCGATGGAATTCGGCTATATAATGCACTGAAATCCAGGTAACACCTTGAATGTGAGGTTGGGTGGGTTGTGTTCTGTCATTTCCTAGAATCCCTTGTCCTTGGAACTGGGAGATCTGGGAGATGAGTGTCAGGCCTGCAGTGTCAGTGTGGGGCTCGATGCCTGGGAGGCTGTCTCGGGAACTGGCAGCTGTATGTTTAAGAGGAGCCTCCTGTGGGCGCCTCAGGGCGGATCCTGGCTGGGGTGCAGGCACTGCCGAGTTCAGAGGTGGGCTGTAAGGCTGGGAGCCCTGCAGTTGGGCACTGCCGGGTTCTTGGAAACAGATGGATTCGTTGCCAAGACAAGAATTTCTCACTTAGGGCAGCTAAGAAGAACCCAAGGCTTTTGAGGTTGCAGGCGTTGCGTGCTGAGGCAGACGGCATCCCAGCGGATGTCTCTGATGCTGACTGGAATGGGTACTGGTTACCAGTGACCTTTATAAGAACTGTCCTGGTTCCTCAGTAGTTGTGTTCCAGGATTCCAACAGGCAGGTTGGCACTTGAAATTGATTGAAATTTTGTTAAAATGTGGTAGCATCTGCGAGACTGCTTACTATTAATTTTTTTTTAGTCAGTGAAAGAAAACATTTCAGGTACCCCATGGGGCACAGCCACTCTACATTTGTGACAGACCAGTTTCTGCATTTCCAGGGCAAGTAACATTTTCCAGAGCTGATAAGTGGTTTGTTTGCCTTGCAGGTCTGTTAGACCCCGTTTAACAATCTATGTCTGTCAGGAGCCATTAAGGAGCATGCAACTGGAAAGACAAGAGGCAGGCAACGGTGATAGCAGCAACGGTGCAATATACGGTACGATGCGTACGGGGTCTCTCAGCATCAAATTTCTGTGTCTTAGAAAGTCTAAAACGAGAGAGATGGGAAGGAAGAAAGAAGTGAAGAGGCTGAATTTCTGGGTTTGGTGCACAGGGAAACCACAGGAAGTTGTATTCAGAACAGCATCGTTGTTTTATCACTGCACGGGCTGAACAGAACCGTAAAACTTCTCAAGGTTAAATCATTGATTTATTTTCAGACCATTGATAAAACTAACAGTAGTTACCCAGTAATTAATTAAGGAGCTCGCAAATTACCTGTGCTGTGTTGTTACAGCCAAGGTGTTAACCAGATAAACGTAGGTGCATGTAAAATCTACGTGCACAAACCCACTTGGATCCTTTCCCATTTTCAGGTAGGTTTTGCTGTCATTTTCTGTGCAACTGATAAAACAGGTAGAGCTCGGACATGGAAAACCAGCCGAGCTGTGTAGGGGCTCATGATTTTAGTATTATTTTCCAGAGAGGCAGCTGTTCTTTCAACACAAGTGGGAACTTAACGTTTCATTGTAAATTCATGTCAATCTGACAAGTAAAGAGAATGGAGCTATTTGAAATTATTTTTTCCTTGCTCTTGGCTTTGAGTGAAGAGACCTCCCTGCCCAACCAGCTGCCATCTGTGGAGGCTGCTGCTGTAATATGTAGCTGTGTATTTTCCATGCAAGAATTGAGGTGGAGGAGGATCTGTAAATGGGACTCTGTCTTTGTCCAATACGTATTTTCCCTCTGGATGTCTTCAGCCTTTGGTTTGGGACAGAAGAATGTGCAAAGGTGGAGCTGCCAAGGGCAAAGCTACAGAGCTGTAAATACAGCGTTAAACTGAACAGCTACTTTCTCTGACTGTTCTGTTGGTTTGTGGTGGTGTGTTCCCTCCCCACCACCCTTCAGCTCCGAGATGATCTGTGGGAAATTTGTCCAGACAGTTGAGAAAGGCTTTCTTTACAAACAGAAAAAAAATCTATATCCCTATTTAAAGCAACAGTGTAGTAGAATTAAGTCAGGTGAATTACCTGCTTCTTTTGAGACACTCCAGAAATCCTTCCCAGCTCCCCTCTAGGTGACTCTCTCGAGATCTGTTTAGGGCTGTTTGGTGTGATTGTGCCTTTTTGTGCAGGATACAGGGAAAAATGGGGAAGTTGCTTTCAGTATCAGAGCCAGTAGCCGCCTCTCCCTTGTCCGAGAGGTGTGCTTACAGCTTGAGCTTGAAAGAAAAGTCACGGCAGTTCGTGCTGCTTAGTGAGAGCAGGGGAGAGTAAAGTAAAGGGTTAGAACTCTTAAAGTTTTTTAAAGCCTGGGTGTAAAGAAATGCAGATTTTTTGCATATAGTTCCTTGTTATCAATTAGTACCATGCTGCTTTAATTTTTTTTTTTCCCCAGTTTATCATGCAATCTACTTAGAAGAAATGGCAGCCTCAGAAGTCACACGCAAGCTCGCTTTGGCATTCAATATTCCTTTGCATCAGATCAACCAGGTTTACAGACAGGGTCCCACAGGTATCCACATTCTTGTTAGTGATCAGGTAATGGAAATTTTATTCTCTTGACAAATTCTATTTAGGAATTAAATAGAACAGAGGATTTTCTTATGCTTGCTTCTTTATTACTGTGTTTTTCCGTTTGATAATGCCACCTAGTATTTTCTGACATTTAGACTATTTTTTCCTTTGCATTAAAATGAGCAGAAGGATCCTTCAAATGTTGCTTTTCCTCTACCTGAATAAATTCAGATCATAAAAAGAGAGAGGCAGCGAGTCTCCGTAGTTCTGAGATGCTGCAGCAATTACTTAGTTTGTATTTATTTGGAACATGCCCAAAGGCAGGGAGCATGGAAATACTGTTGAACTTGGCTTATTCAAGCATCTGCTACACATATTTAGAGTTCCAAAACACAGCCAACAGTAACAGGCTCCCAACTGGTTGTTGCATGATTAACAAACAGTATTTTGACAGTTATATATTTTAATTTAATTTGGGATGCACTTGTCACTTGCTGAATAAAGCCAAAAATAAGGACTTGCTTCTGAAAGGCTCTATTTACTATTTGATGTATTTATTTTTTGCATTGGTCACACTCAGGTGGGTTTCAAAACTTTTATTTCTTCTTCTTTTTTTTTTTTTTTAATTTTAGATGGTTCAAAACTTTCAAGATGAGAGTTGTTTCTTATTCACCACAATAAAAGGTACAGTGTCTTTTCTGGCAGTCTAAAACAAAATTGTTTATTCTACTAAAGAGCCTTCTTTAAAGTAAAGCAGAATACAATTCTAGTAAAAATTCTCCACGCAAAGAGTAATGGCAGATCTAAAGAAGGCTGAGTTGCAAAAAAACCCCAAACACAAACAAACAGAAGCACAGAGTAGAGGCAGAGTCTCCCTTTCAGAGGCCGGGCGCTTCAGGTGCATCCCACTTTCTTAGGAGCCCACCTGATTTCTGGTAAAAGGTGCCAGGAAATCGCTGTCATCAGTGGACAGCTTTGACTCTCTGCAAATTTTACCTACAGAAACTGTCCCAACTTTGAAGATCCAATAACAAATTGAACAATCACGATGTTTGTTCAGCAGAAGTAGGAAATTAATTGTTAAGAGCTGTGGTTTTGCTGTAGATGAGCTGTATTTTTAAAGTCTGCTTCACTTTATCAGCATCCTAACTTGAAATGAACTGTTCTGTGTAGTATAAAATCTCTTCGCATGGTTAGTGATTGTCAGAGACCCGTTAGTCTCGCTTGGTGAGCCTCGTGGTGGGACTGCTGGCTTCTAAGCAGCAAATTCACAGGTTGTGTTGTTTGGGTTTTTTTAAACACAGTTTCCATTTGACTTTCTAGTGTAAGGCTGAGCATCACAAAATAGAGGATTAAAACCATACACTTAGGATTTGTATTGGTCTTGCAGAAGTTAATTTCATTTCTTCCTGTGGTATTAACTGTCAGAGGGATTTGTATTGGTCTTGCAGAAGTTAATTTCTTCCTGTGGTATTAACTGTCAGACGAGGTGGGTTTAACATGCAGTAGGAGGAGTTCAGAAACCCCTGCAAACCAAAGTGATTTTTAAAAGTTAGCTCTTCTTCAAGCGTTTGGTCTGAGCAGCAGGTTACTGGTGTTCCGTGTTTCGAGTTTAATAGTTCACAGTAGTAATGAAGCACGTCTACACTGTAAGAACCAAGGCCCTACTTGGATGTTTTGGCGCGTTGCCTGGTGTGTTGATGGTTCTTGTTTATGAAAGGCTGACACTTTTTTTTCCTTTTTCCTTTTTTTTCAGCTGAAAATGGTGAAGGCTTCCATATAATTTTGAAGTGATGTCACACAATTGCTAGACTTGCTACTCCACCGCAGAACGAAGTCCTGCCTAAAGATTATGAAGATCATCCAAAAACCTTAGGATCTAACTAACTTAACTTCACCGTATAAGATGTTTCATATTGAAAACACAAAATGACCTTTCTAATGAGCTGTTTGATAGGTGAACTTTCTTATCACTGCCATAGCAAAGTGTCCTCATGAGAGGTTGTAATGCCACGACAGCTGACGTACAGGCATGGGAGACAATGTAAGCAAAGGTGCTTGCCCTTTCCTGAAATAAGGCGAATTATGGCCAGTAGATGCAGCTTTCAGAAGCGAAGCACTTGTTGCTTCTCTCTTCTCTGTATCCAGTTGGAGATGAATGTAAACTTATTTGGGGGCATTTACCTTTCTGTGCCAGTTTGTCTGTTACCTGCTTGTACCTTACGCTGGTTTTATTTTTTGATGTTAGCAGAGCACATATTAATCTGTGTGGAGACGAGTAGTTAAGCTGATAGTGATCAGGTTGTCGGGTCTTTGAGAGTAAAGCTGTCAAAACAGCTTCCCCTGTAAATTGTGTATAAGAGTGTATGTAAGAAGTGTAAATGCCAGAACAGGGCTTTTCAGAAGCCCCAGACAGATGCAATATATGCATGCAGCAAACTGCATTAGCAACAGTACCTTATCAGAGGGATTAATAGAAATCCTGTGGGGTACCAAGTAATTGTGTTTTGCTTTAACAAATTTAATGGAAATGAATTGCCTATGCATCCTTTATGTTTAGTTTCCTAGGTTCTCTGCGGAGCACTGCTGCAGTTTAACTCTTTGCTTGTAAAATTGTGGGTTTAAAAATACTAGCAGTGAGAGGTGGATTTTTATGACTTAGTGGAATTATGCTGATGAGGGAGGGTGACCCACTGGCACCATGGGGCTGTCGTAGCTTTCAGCAGCAACAGCAAATAAATGGCTTCAGAAACACTAAATATACACCATGTAAGTCTCCTTCCCAGCAGGTAAAGGCCTCGCTGTACTTGCTATTATGGACAAGTATCTTTCTTACCTTCTCTGTTGCCCTTTCTCCGCCCTCTGACCCATGCTGTACAGCTGTTACAGTGCCTCTTCAACACGACCAAATGCTTTGCTTTCAAACAGGCCATGTGCTTTTTCACTGGTTTCACTATTTCTTGTGAAGACACAGCGCAGCATTTCCTGTGCTAACACTGAGTTTCACCTGGGTAGGTACTGAGAGGGGAATATTTCTAAAGGGGATGAAGTGACAGTTTCGCAGCTGTCACTTTCTGCCTTTGCAAAGTTCCGCCTTGATCTCTGGCTTAAAAACCTTGGGAATAGTTTGCTTTCTCTGCTGCAGTGTTCAACGTAAACAACTACTACAGCACCTAAAAAAGCAACTTTGATTTCTTTTTTCATTCTCTCTTTCATAACTGGCTCATGTGCTTAGCAGAAAAGCTTCTTAAAGCTGTAGCATTTTGAAAATTTAAATTCCTCAAAGCTAGAGTTTCTTTCCTTTTTTTTTTTTTTTTCTGCACTGAAAGTAAAATTTTACGTACTTAAACATTTCTGCCTATAAGTTTTTCATCTTTGGGTATTGTTTGGTCCTAGTATTTTCTTGAACTGACACTTGTGTCTTTTCAGCTCACACCATCATCAAATCCAAATGTTTTATAAAAAGTGGAAAAATCCTTGATTGGAAAGTATCCAAATATCTAATTTTAAAGACTATTGAAAGTTGTACAGTAGTTTGTCCAGCTCACATGAAATTGGAATTAAATTATGGCACCAGCAAATTGCTTTTGTTTTTTAATAAGATGTACACATTTCAATTTAAGTATAATAAATGTTTTTCAATAATTTTGTAAACGTGCTTTTCTTTTGGTTTATGTTTACTCCCTGTATCCTTTATTTAGATAATCTGAATCTTAACAGCAGCAGTAGCTGCAGGACCTACCCCAGCAAAAATGGCAGGTGAAGGTCAATAATGGAAGCAAACCAGCTCTGTAGTTTCTCCTGCACCCAACACACGCACGTAGTTCTTCTGCTTGTAATGGAAAACTTAGTTAAATATGAAATAACTGAAACAAATTCAAATCTGACATCAGCTGATTGTTTATTTAAGTGTCCTATATCAGAGCAGGTTCCATTTGTATTTGTACATCTTTAATGCAACAGACTTACAAGGTTCATTATGTTCTTAGAAAAGAAAAATGAGCCAACAAGAGGCAACACATGTTGACATACTGGGACCAACACCTTTCCTGGTACAGTCAAGAACAGAATCTGCTGAAAACTCTCCATTACAGCACTATCTTCATGGAGCTCCAAGTACGATTGTAACAACGCTCGCTCCTCCGCCCCTGTGCAAAACAAGCCCTGACTACTTGGGCGTAGGGAAGAAATCCATGCACTGCCCTGTAAGCTCTAATTTAGATCTTAATTTACCTTCTCCATCGAAGCATGAACACAACCTGGCCACTGCTGTCCATAAAGTCTCTTAGTGTTCACACTCCTTTTTTTAAAAGTAGCTTAAAATTTTGGGGGGAAATTGCAGTACTATCCAGTAGTAGCTTCTCCGACTGCTTTTTAAGCCAGTACTTCTATTAATTTTCAGTAAACACACAGGCCCTGAACTCTTAAAACACACACACACACAACCAGTCTTGCACAAAGAAAGCTTTCTGAACTGTTGAGTAGTTTATCTCAGATAATTATGTTGCTTAATATAAAAAAAGATTTCTCTAACCCTCTAGCACTGAAAAACTAAGGATGAAAGCATGGCCTGAAGAGTTAATACACAGATTTTACTCCTATGATCATTCAGAAGTTGACAGCTTCTTAAATAACCCAAATGTGAAGAGTTTGGCTTTCTACATTTGAAAACCACAAGTTTGGTTTGGTTCTACTCCTGCCTACAGATTTATTTGCCCATCTGCTTGCTCTGTCCTTACAACAAGTGGGACACACAGCTGGAATGGAATTCCTCGCTCACTCATAGCTCCTGTAACCGACCCTGGTTTCCACTCTTCACCTGTAGGAAAGCAGGAATAACACACCTCTGTTCCCAGAACCACGGCATCCTTCCCTGACCAGCTGGGGACAGACGGGACTGGCACTGCAGCCAGCACCCCATGTGCTGTGGCAGCCAGTCACAGTAGAGTGCACAAGCTCCACCACAGTGGATTTCTTACCCCTTTTAAAGGCTGATGGCACTGGGCATAAAACATGCTTCAGTGACAGGCAAGCTTTATACTAACACATAGTTCAACTGAACCAAGTTCAAAAACTTGGCAAGTATGTCTATTTATATAATTATCTTGAGGTACTATCTTACTTCTTGACATGACCTATGATGTCCTGTTACGTAATTAAATAGGAAGCTGAATCGTGAACAAGTGTAAGCCGTTTTGCTGTAAGAGCTCATGATTACCTTGCATTTTTTTGGTCAACATCTGCTCAAGCTGATTTGTCCTTAAACCTGGTATTGAATCTGTCGTGTATATTACAGAACAGCAGGTTCAGTTCCTTGGTGTGAAGGATTTGAGCCCCACCTTAGGTTAGAACTTCACACTGAACCCTGCTTACAAATGCAAATTTGACTTCCAAGTTTCGTGAACTTTCCCCAAGTAGCTGCTAGGCTGAATCACCCCCACATTTTACACAGTACTTCAGTTCTCATGCCAACAGAAGGAAGGAGTTACTAACACAAACCAAAGCACCACCAACTTAATCCACAGCTGCACGTTACGTTAAGGTTTTTTTACCTGGAAAAAAATGCTTTTCTTGTCACAAAACTGGATGATCAAACACCACCGTTAGGACTGTCAGGAAACAGACTCCTTCCCCTGCCTTGCTGTCCTCTTCTTCAGCAACAACCAAACTTTGCTGTGTGGTTGCACTTACTGTCAGAGAATAATACAGCATCTGCAGAGGCGCTGTCCGCTCCCTCCCACCGAAGGAGGGGGTGTTACTGGAGCAAAGTAAGCATGGACCTTCACGTGAGGTAGATGAGCCTGTGGATGAAAAGTCTGCGTTATACTGGGAGAGAAATAAACTCAACTAGTGAAAAGAAGCACTGCACCTCAACTACTGCCAACAGGTGGGCTCCTGCTAAGGCTGGGGAGCTGAAAAGAAGGTAGCTGCACACTTGATACAGTCTAAGCTGTCTTCTCCTGACACGTCATTCTCGTGTCCCATCCAGCTAAGGCACGCTCATGTCTGGGCACTCACCTGCTCAGGGGTCCCACTTATTTCCCAATAAAGCACCAATCAGCCCAGAGAGCTCCCTGTCCAGAGAGGCATGTGCTCTGCTGCAGGACAGACAGACCCCTGGCTACTGAAGACAGACTTGTCTGTGTCTTGTCTCCCAAATTCCCCGCTGCTCTCATCCTAGAAAGCAGCTCGGAGTAGAACAGAGCACCTGCCCACAGCAGTCACTGGCGGGGATGAGCTCTCCAACTGCAAAAGTGTTTGGAGGTGAATCGGTTACGGAGCTGCAGCCAAGTTTACCAGTAAGGCCAAACGCTGCCCCCTCCCCAGGATAGGCAGCCCCTGGCCTCATGGGGGAGGGACACCGAGGAACAGAGTTTGTGGCTGGATTCCAGAGCCTAACGGCCCTACAGCCCTTTAACTGAACTCTCTATGCAGATGTTTTACTATTGGCTCTGTAGATTAACAAATATTTTAGGAGAGGTAAAGAATGGCACAACACAATCCTGAAAACACAGAGCCTGTATTCGAAAAACTACAGGAAGCAGAAGATAAGCACTCACCATCCCAACAGCAAACGTGTCATGAGTTAGAAACAGACAATGATTACTGCTCGTATAGAAAAGCTACGCTTAGTCCTTAGAGATGAGAACCTAACAGAACGATATTCTGACTCTTTTTCCATCCTCCCTTGCCTGGGACACCTGCAGGGTTCATACAGTCTCAAGGACCATCAACAGCTCGGGCACTCCCACCAGAACAAGTCAGCAAACACGTACTCTGATTCGTTTGATTCCAGCTCGCGTGACTTGCTGACAGTCATACAGCTCAATTCTCTCCAAGTTGTGGCAGTTCTCCAGGTGTTCCAGAGTCACATCAGTGATGAGAAGACAGTTATCAAGCTCCAACACCTGCAGCCTCTCGTGACCACACGTACTGTTGCTCAGATGAAGGATCCCATCATCAGTGATTAATTCACAGTGAGATAAGCTCTAAAACAGAGGTGAACAGTCAATGACATCACTCAGACCTAAGTTACTCTGGCCTCTAAACATCAGAAGTCCTCTTCAACCCCCTTCATTCTAGTGGTTCAACAGTTACAAACACAGCTGAAATCCAGAAGAGTAACAAAAGAAAGAGCTCTACTTAACAAAAGGGCTGTACTTTGCTTCAAAACAAGTCAAGTCCCAACACAATCATCACTGGCAAACTCCTCCGTTACCAATGGGTGCAACCAACACGTGCCAGCCAGACACAGAACACAACTTTAAAGGAGGATCAGGAAAACACAGGGATAGAGGAGGATCTGCTGACAGGAGTTAGTTTCACAGCTACCATGTTTTCATACATGCCATCAGGACCACGCCCGGGCAAGTCCACAGAGATAAAGAACAATCAGACTGGATGGATTTGCCAAATAATGATTTCAGGAAACCTGTGATCGCTTAGCGCCCCAGGCTGTACCTACGAGGAGTAATAAACTTCTTGTACAGCTGCAGGAGCGGGTCTTTTCTGCCACAGTCAGCATAATAAACTAAAAAATTCTGTTTGTCTTCAGCATTTCTTTTTACTCTCTTGAATTTCAAGAGCATGGAACAAGTTGCAGCATCTCGGGCAGTAGCACCACATAAAGCAGTTTCTTGGTTTCTTTAGGGAATTCATGACTTTTGGAGAAGCAGTGATGATGACAACAACAGGAAACAGACTTTCCTCAGAGGCAGCTTAAAAACCACCCTCTGTCACCAGTGCAATGAATGCTCTCAAGCCTTCTGCTCTGGAAATGTGCAGGATCTGTGAACTCTACTCCTCCTGCCCTGGGCTCTGAGCTCGCTCCTTGCTTTCTGCTCAGCCCCGTGTCTTGCCCGTACTCGTATCTAAGTCTAATGGTGACTGGTTCTGAAGAAGCATTTCCTTGCCACAAGTACCTTTCACACAGAAACCAATGAAGAAACTCTTGCACCCATCCAAAGGCGCTTTTTAACTCGGCACAAGCTAACGGTAGTGCCCAAAAGTACCTCCTGCCAATCACCTGAATCTACCACCTCATCCTTCCCTTCTCTCAGTACAACACAGCTTCTTTTATTTCAGCCTGACAAGGAAGCCTGAGGACTACCAATCGTGGCTCACCCTTGTGTCTCAGCTACAGTCACGAGCATTTCTTGCCTGCTGCCAGACACACGGGGTCTCTCCTGCCCTTTAGAACAACTTGCCCCTCAACTTCTTTTCTCCCTTGCAGAACAGGATGAACAGGTAACCAGAGAAGAGGCTGGGAGGCAGGTCTGCAACTCCCCTCCAGTCTGACCAGGAGCCACCCCAGCAGCTTCCCTTCAGCTCCAATTTTCCTCACTCACCAAGTGTCAGCAGCCGGCAGTGACTCCAAGCAACACCACAAGTAGCACACGTGGTCTCCAAAAGGCAGCAGAAATGAAGCACTCGCCCCTACCAACAGTGGTTTATCTTGCAACATGTTTACATTCTGCAAGTCTACCAACTCTTCAAACACTCTCCTATGCCTATTTTCTTTATGTACATGTTCTGAGCATTTGATTTGGCTCACAGCCTGGAAACAATCAGCAGCTGGAGGGTTAAAGAACATTTATAATAGACCTGCTGCTTCAAGGAAGGACAGGAGGTTACGTGAAGCTGTTGGCTAGGGCAGCACTCTGCTGGCTAATTAAGAGTGTTCCGTCCCAGGAAGTAAGCAGCTTATAAAATTCAGCTTTCCTGAGACACTGGATTTGGTTCTGAAAGGACAATACAGGATGTACAGCTGAGTTCGTAGAACTTTGCAAAACAAATATGCCAAAAGATACATACTTTGTATTAAACCACATGATTTTTCTGACTTTTTAAGCCTGTTGGAAAGTGTTAATAATGTGGAATTTTACAAAGACAACTGCTTCAAATCTTTAGAACAAATAGATATGGTTAAATTCTTTTGTTTGTTAATACATACTAAATGCTGTGTATAAATCAAATACAGCATGACATACTGTGACAGTAAGAAACACTATTATCAACTTAACAGAAGAATTCAATTGTCTTCTCATCTCCAGGAATATCATGAGTATTTCACAGTTTCTCTAATAAATTTGAATGTACAATTATTGAACACTTTAACCAGAAATTACTTCTTAAATCCAGTAAGTAATAAAGCATTCAAGGACTCTGATATTGATGGAGATGTAACAGTTGGTTACCAACAGTGCTTTTGTTTATTTCCATTGTCTACTGAGTCTCCAAACACCAAGAAACAAATTCAAAGTTGATTTCTGCAACTCCAAAATATATTTTTAGTCTGCAAATATACCTAAACATATGCTCAAGTATCAACAGTATGTGAATTCACACCTGAAGTATCAAGATTGCTTCACGTAGGGTATTTGGCACCTGCTAGTCTGTTTTTTCTTTCCCTGTAAATCTCAGCTATCACTGTTCACTCACAATCCTTGAGAATGTACCCTTCCTACACACAAGATAAACACATCAACAACAAACAAATCAATTTTCCTGGTTCCCTTAGAAAAGGAATGTTATTTTACCAATGCATTTTTCCTGGCCGTGGGCTAACACATAGAGAGAGGCCAGCAAGAAGGAACAGGCTGAGAAAAATACTTGGAAGTTATGAGGTTTTCTGATATCTCCGGTGAAGCACTGGCAGAACTGGTACAAAAGATCTCTTGCAAGTACTGGTTATGGTTGGGATTACAATACAAAACCACATCTGTTGTAGAACAGAAAGTGTCCCACATAAATGGCTCCACGTTGCCTGACAACTGGTTTGGCTTAATGTTAAGAATTACAGTACAGAAATGAGGTCAGACAAGTGATGAGCAAAAATAAAAACCAACAACAATAAAGAACTGTGAACAAGCTCCTTTTTAAAAGACATCTCTCCTCATGTTGCTGCCTTAGTAACACTGAGTGAGTAACACTAACCAATCATAAAACAATTTAATTAATGAAGCAGCAAACCTTCCTTTAATCCCAACTAAGAACAGATTATAAAGGTACTTGTTCTCTCAGGTACATTTGAAGTAGCACATAACAAATCTACACTTATGGGATAATTGACTCTAAATAGAGCCAACAGCCTCTCTTGTAAGGACTCCCTAGGGATTTTGGAGTGCCTTGACTGAAGAACAGCCAAATTTATGTCACCTGAAATTGTTTTCATTGTTCTGAAAGATCTAAGCAACCATTCCCCAAAAACCAGTTCACTGAAATACAGCAAGCAAAGCACCCCACTGAAGGCATCTCATTCCTCTACGTTCAAAAGTCTAGGTCAAAAAACCTCCTATAATTTACTATGCAAATTTAGTCCTTGGGGAAAAACTGCTTGTATGCAAAACTGATTACAGAGTGAGTACATTTATCTGCATTGGGCGGTTTTGTTTATTCAGTATTTGACTTAAAATGTCATTCTCCCTAAGAAAACCATTGTGAACACTCAAGAGCATCGATAAAGTTCTGAGTACTGTCAGTTGCCTGAAAAGTTTTATTTTAGCTATGTAATCAAATATGTAGGATGTTAACCATAAAATATAAGCTTTCTGGTTATTTCTCTCCAATTTGGTAAAATTTTTTATCACACAATGCATATAAATATTTCAGGAGTAAATATTTCTGCTGCTTCTAGAACCCTTCTGAAACTTGCATATATATTTTGCACAGTACATGAGGAACTTGCTCTAGGCCAGAGTAAACAGCCTGGGTTTATACTGAAGGAGGTATGTATGTGCATTGTTTCAGAGGTATGCATTGAAGTTCACAAACAAAGAGTCACACTTACCAATGCTTGTAGCTTAGGACAGTGTATGGAAAGTTGTATCAATGTGCTGTCAGTTATCTAGAAATAAAAGAAACCAACCAACCATAAGCATCAGACAGTAGGAAGGCCAACCCTCACATAGGATCAATCTCTCTCTAGCAGTCAAAGTTCCTTCTGGAAAACACCTAATCACATGTTGCTCTTCAAATATTTCCCTGTATAGAATTTCCCAATAATTATTTTTGTTTCCTAACATAAACACAGCACTATTAATAAAAAACAAAGCACATTTAACTGAAAGTGCTAATGTTCTTATTGGCACTGCATTCTTACACTGGACATTCAATATTCCTTTTCATATTAAATCTCACCAAGACACATTCTTCCAAGTCCATCTTCTCCAGCTCATGGCAATTCTAAAATAAACAAAAATCAAACAGATAAACAAAACACAAAATAAAACAACATATAGACATAAAAATCATGCACGGGACTAGTAATATGGGAAAGCACAGCCTAGGAAACCGTGAGCTAAATCACTTCAAGTGTTTGATCACTATCAAAAGACAAAAAACTGTTAAAAAAAAAAAAAATCTATATTTTCAGCCTTTCTCTTACTAAGTGAAGTGTTCCCCCCTTGCCCTGTAAGGTTTGGAACAGTACATATGTGATCAGTACTCATTCATCCCTGCTTCCCTTCCCCCTCCTCCCCAAGTGCCATTCAAACCTATGGTGGTTACAGTTAGCCAACAAATCTGCACACAGATGAATCCAGCTTCTGCATACATTAACCAGCACCAAACTCATCTGAAACACACTGAAGCCTGTGAAACATCTCTCTCTGCCATCATACTTTAGAAAGAAGCCTTGAAAACAATTTGCTTTGCTAACAAATGCTGAAAATATCAAAATAGGGTCCACTTTAAGGCTGGGAGAAAAATGCACTTCACATTTATATATACAATTCTCCCAGCATTCTGAGAGATCCCAAGCAAGCTTTTAGAAGTGCTTTCAATATCTAATTGTGACCAATTTAAAGAAAATGATGCAAACTTGTGACCTTACAGCAGACAGACCACATGGTGCCTTGGCTCAGCCCAAACCTCAACCTCTATTTTTTTTTCCACAAGCATAGGAAGAAATAGTTTATCTTGCAGCTCCCAGAAGCAGGCTTGAGGTGACTACTGAAAGCCCAAGGCTGTAGTGCTGACTGATTAGAAAACCATTCTGTTCAACCACTGTGGCTAGAAAAAAACCCATCCTTTCATTCACACTAAATATCATCAGTGAATCCTGATTACAACATAATATTTTTGTCTTCAGAGTTCCTAAACCAGCAAGCATACAAGTCTAACTTGAAGCACTTGATACCATCAATACGCTTACTTTACATATTTATAGCATGAATCAGAGCACAAGTGCTTATCGTTTATAATGTACAATGTCAGTATTTCTGTACATTAAAGGTATGCTCAGAATAATCTATTATATGGTGATTTTGGGGGTGTAAATATCACAAGGGTATGTTTTATCTTTATGGGAGAAACTTGGCTAGAACACAACACAATTTAGAATTATGTTAAACATAATGAATCCAATTGAAACATACTAAAAAAAGAGGGGAAAAAAGTGAAAAAAGCAATGATAGGTGGCAAAATAGATCAAGTTGCAGGTCTAAGTATAATCCAGAAATAAAATCACTTTTTAGTACCCTCCTCCACTGGGTTCTTCCCACTTTATTTTTCTTCTCCTATTCCTTCCCAGCAGGACTACATCAATTCACAGCTGCTCAGCAGCAATGAAAACAAGGTGAGCTCTGACCTTCTGAAACGACCCTTACCCGTGCTAAAAGGGTAAAACCAGCATCTGTAAGATGTGAACATCTTGCAGCTTCCAAAATCCTGGAAAAGTTTTAAATGTTAAACAAAACATTAACAGAGAGAAAAGCAAATGCATGTGAGACACAACTCTGTCTTCTACAACTTAAAGCTCTCAATAGCAAATGTATATATATATATATATATGCCTATTTTTCACAATGACTTGCAATGAAAAACACTAGGCAGACTTTTGATCCAGTGTACCAGAAAATTCTAAGAGTCACAGAACAGATTAAGTTCAATCCTCAAATTTTCTCAATATTTAGTGAAAAAAATTATGCATAATTATAGGCATTTTAAACTCTTGTTTCAGTAAGACAGCATAATGTGCAAGTTTTCTCATGTCTTATCTGATGAAAGATATGGGAGAATAAACCCTGAGTTAAGGAAAACACAGATGAAGCTGGCATCTAAAACCCATTATCTAAACACAGGATGTTGGGAAGCCACAAAACTGAGGAACTGCTTACTAGAAATCCACTCAGAGCCTCTGCATGAAGCACAGTAAATTACCAGAAAGCACAGAGCTTAAAATCTCCAAGTAAAAAAATAAACTACACTAACACAACCTTAGAGAAAATGGCATAGTGTTTTGAAAAGATAAACCTAATGCTTTCAAGAGGCACTGGAAAGCATTAGTGACAAAAAAAAAGGTCAACTGCCTCAAGCAGCACCACTAGTGTAATCTTTGTTTTCTTTTTTTTAATGACCAATTATTACTTTGCAGGTGGACTAAGTATCAGGGTGAGTAAGGGGAAACCACAGCACCCTGTAACAAGCAGCACAAACTAAGTGCAACTCCCCTGTTCACCACAGCAAACACTACTTCTATACTGGGGTTGGTGGGGAGGAGGCAGGGAAAGATGGACAAAAGAACCTCTTGCTGTGGTGGCACTTAGAGGCATCTAGATCCTTCCACTGGTTTAGGCCAATAGAAAGCTCTCTCTATAAAGAGGGTGCAAAGGGAAAACCCATGCTGTGTGCACGACAAAATTACAGCCCCACCAGAGGACAGGATGGGTCCTGCATCAATCAGGCCCCAGTATGAAAAACAGGTGGGAAGGCACTGGTCAGCATGAAAATGAGCAAAGTTCTATTTTTCGCTTTGCTTTAGTGCTTTAACTTAATTACAGAGGGCTCTTCTTTTTTCCAGATACAGCTGACTTTGCAAGATCAGTCTCTTCCAAGCCAAAAGCAAGAGTCCAGCTGAGTTTTGAGGTAAGCAGACCCACAAAATACACCTTTGAAAACCACCTCCAGAGTGCTAGACTTCAACAAGGTGCAGAAGTATGATGGAAACTCAAGACCAGCTGACAGACGAGTGCAAGACAGGCACCACTCCCCAAATGGATGGTTGTAACACCTCTGGATTTTCCTTCCAGACTTGTATTTGGGAACTTCATGCCCTTCCATCAAGGGCAGTTAGCAACCTCTCATAAAATACTTTCAGCTACTCTGAAAATTACCCAGGATACCAAAGAGGAAGGGAAAAAACCCACCACCACAAAAAGATGATCCAGGTCACATTTGTTACCCTCCTTACTCCTTTCATCAATTACTTGCTTTGAACCCCACCTACACTTAAAACTGCTGGATCTCCAACCCCGTTACATTTCTGACTTTAAAGGGGGGGATGGGGAGGAGGGAATGACATCTACAGTGTGCAAAATAGTGAGGATACTACTTACTGCATACCGGGTTGAAAAGAAGAATATGGAAACAGAGGGGTAAGAAACATGAAGATTAGCAGCTCTAGCTTTCCTGAGATTGGGTGTGCAGGCAGAGAGAAGAGACGAATGGGGACAGTGAGCTATATATACACATGCTGCATCAATCAGGCCCCAGTATGAAAAACAGGTGGGAAGGCACTGGTCAGCATGAAAATGAGCAAAGTTCTATTTTTCGCTTTGCTTTAGTGCTTTAACTTAATTACAGAGGGCTCTTCTTTTTTCCAGATACAGCTGACATGTATTTCCCATCCAGTGATTGTGACAAAGTACCCAGCATAGGAGCTGATGAGGCAAAATGATATCCAAGAGCAGGTTCCCCACTCTTACAAAGCAATGTTCTCCGAGACAGACCTCACAGTTGCATTCATTGTCTCCAGATGTTTTTTGGGCACACCTGGAGTGTCTCTGCACACAGGACCTCCCTACTCCTGTTGAATTAGCAGCAGGTGGGAGAGAACTTCAGTGGGGTTAAAGGCAGCTGATCCTTATTTTCACAGCCCCAGATAGACAAAGACATTCATGGGTGCTTTTCTTGATAAGCCTCATCAAAACACCTACCAGTATTTTAACACTAAAAAGAGATAAAAAAAGAAAAACAGAGAAGGTAGCAAGCACTTAAACGAGCAGTTACAAAAAGGGATGAGGAGATAGCTATATATTGCTGTAAGGGAAAAAACAACTGAAGGGAGCTGGTCAAGCTTCGGATTTTTTTTCAAGAAGGTGTCATTTGTGAGTGGTGACAGCTACAGAACACAGCGCTGTCATGGAAAGCAGCACAGTAGGGCATCCAAGACCCTGAAATGAAGTGAGAGTAACACAGCACAGAAAATACTCAAAAGCTTCTTAACAGGGCCAGCACATCCAACAGAGATAGGGGAGTTTTCTTTCATGCTGAACACCAAAATATTCAGAAGGTACAAAACAAGTGTGGAATTATATTTCCCTTTGATTTCCAACGTAACTTTTATCAAGTACTTTCCATATGTGATCCCAAAAGTCTAGATGTAACCAGCTGTATCACCTGTCCTCCCATCACACGCTCCTCTGCAGTAATCACTGCAAAAGGTCATTTTTTTCCTTACACTGTTCCTCATCAGAGAAGAACAGCAGATGCCTTCCCCCTCGTGGCACAGACAGGGGCTAACAGTTTACCTACCAAAGTCAAAACAATTCCTGTTACAGTTGTACTGCCCTTGGAAAGTATTGCACAACTAACAGCACTTTAGACCTCCTTTTATTTCCAATCTGAGCTGTGAATTCAGAGAAGGAGAGAAATCGTGGCAAAAGACCAGTAAAACCAGCACAACTTTCTAAGGAACACAATGAAGTGTGTCAGAAGACTCCTAAACCCTAAACACAGGCACAGGTAAGCTCTTGTAAGCTCTTGTAAGTAAGAATGGTTATATGAAAGGGACTGTCACTCTGGAATTGTCTTCAGGACAGGTTTTCTGCAGTACCAAAAGCTCTTTTTCACTCAATTAGCTAAAGGAACACTGTGTGACAGCACATTGCACGCTGGCATTTGAATGTAGCTTCCCCTAATTTTTACAATCTACGCTTTCCTCCGTTTATCTGTGACTGAAGTGTAACAAGCTGCAACTCCTGCACGTTCCTGTCACAAACGGCAATTTAGTGTCATGCAAGAATCTTTTGTTTTGATTTAATTTACATTAAAATTAGACCTTAAAAGAAGTATTATATGTCTCTACAACCAGAGAGATGCTGCCTGACTGGGCTTTGTTATTAAAGCTGAAGCTGTCCCCACTTCTGCGGGCACCACCATGCCATGTATGTTAGCACAAGTTACACCAGTGTAAAAGTCTATACTAATTTTAACTGATGAGCCCCTATGACTCAAAACATATCCCATAAATACCAGTCCTCAGTGCTTGCAGACATTAGCACACTCCATATCGGGGGTTTAAGAATGCCAGGATGTACTGCAGAGCATATTAAAACCACATTTATAATAAAATCTGTAAATATAGTAGCCAGGTGTGATTTAGCTATTTCTTTGCAAGACAAACAACTGCATAAAACCACATCAGAGTACAAACATCACAAGATACAACACAACTATATTTTTACCTTTTAAAAAAATAATGGGCTTTATATCTTCTTTTCTTCTGGCCTGTAATTAGTACCTAAAATATTTAGCTAGAAGCACAGAATTGAACTGCTAGGTTCAACATGTTTTATTTGTCATATATTAATTCTTGTTTTTCCAATATACAATAGACTACATTCATATGATAGCTACAGAGGACCAGCCCTCAAGTTTATATTCAGCCAGTACTTCTAACTTATGTTTTGATTGCAAAGGTAACAAAAAGCTAAATCAAACCTGTGGCTATCAGCTGATTACCTTCAGCAGTGAATTTCTCAGATCTGGCCAGTAACAACGTGACATAGTCACTACACGCTCATGACATACTCACTTCAGCCTTGGACAGTTTAGACCCAGTGCTGTGAGAGAAGCATCGGTAAGGTTGCTACAGCCTGAAACACAGAGCGACTGAAGTCTATGACATCCTCTACAGATTTTTACAATGCCTTCATCTGAAATTTGCTGCAACACAGAAGGAGGTTGAAGTTACTTTGCTGTGAAGTAATTAGCTAAGAACAAAAATCAAGTCATATTACTGAACTGTTAGTGTCACACTGTATATAACCATGGCAACCTGTGGACTTTCAGACAAAAAGTACCACCATGAAACCACGTTCATTACTAACACTGAAGATAATAAAGACACAATTCCTACTTACCTATTTTTCCACACATCTTTTCATTAGTTGCCCTTTTCATTAGGGCCACTAATGACAAGACAAGGGGAAATGGGTTTAAACTGAAAGAGGGGAGGTTTAGATTAGATATTAGGAAGAAGTTCTTCACAGTGAGGGTGGTCAGACACTGGAACAGGTTGCCCAAGGAAGTTGTGGATGCCCCCTCCCTGGAAGTGTTTAAGGCCAGGCTGGATGAGGCTTTGAGCAACCTGGTCTAGTGGAAGGTGTCCCTGCTGAAGGCGGGGGGATTGGAACTAGATGATCTTTGAGGTCCCTTCCAATCCAAACCATTCTATGACTCTATGATCTTGAGTACTGCTCAAAGGCAGTCTGAAGCACACAGGGAGAGTTGTTTATTATCATCTTCCTCTTTCACTTTGCTTTTGCTTTATAATTTTCTTTTTTTTTTTTAATTGTAGTTGTCATTGTAGGAAATAGTTTGCTTTTTAAATGTTTGTAGAGTACAGGTCTGTTGTTCCAGTGACTGTAGGTTCAGGGACAGTGCAAAAGAGAGCTCAAAGCTCGACAGCAGGAGAGCTAACTACCTATTTTGCACTGGAGCAGTAGGACCCAAGGATAAAAATCCTTCACCTCCATATAATTTTCAAAGCAAGAGTTACAGGTAAATAATTATATATAATCCGTTCTTTACAGAAGATAAACGTAAAAGCCGGGTTTGTCCTACCCTCTGCAATTGCCTTTTGACAAAAGATTTAACTCACAAGAATGTTTTTCATTTCTCAAAATTGCTTTGTACCAGATATTCTGAAAAAAGTAACTCTAAATTTGGAACATGAATAAAAAGTTTTTCCCTCTGAAACAGGAACTGTAAGAATAGCCCCGATGCAGCTGCACACAAAATAGCAACAGGAACTAGGTTATTGGGTGTGTGTGCAAATATTATTTTGTTTACAGGTCTTCTATTCTGGAAAAAAGTATTCTCTCCTCCTCCCACTCCTAACTCCAAGAATTTAATTTTTCTACTGAATGACTAATCCTTCATGGTGAAACAGGTTATTTTATTTCCTGGCCTAACATTACTCTTACAATGACAACAAAGGCCTCTACTGTATTCTGAATTTAATATACACATTCCTTTTATAAGCCACTCACCTAAGTACGCTCATAGTATCATAGCATATTTCAGAGGCTATTACCACAAACATTAACTTTCCCAGATGAAAACAGGACGAGCAATAGCAGTAGCTCAGCACAGAGGGAGATCACCTTATGCTCATTCCCGCAACCCAGCACTTTTTAATATCAGCAGTTTAAATTAAACAAATCGTTCTGTCAAATAAAAATGATTCCAGGCAGAAAACTAGAAGTCTTGTCTTTGTTTTGTGGATCCAGAAGGACTTGCATCATCTACAGATAAGAAGATATTTTCTGGAACTGTTTTGTTCCCTTTGAGGGATATTCATGACGCTATTACTGGGAAAAGGAACTCTTTTGGAGGTAAGGACTATGTACATTTTATGCTGCTGCTGGAGATGGACAAAACCCTCAAGTTATACATGAAAATTTTCCATTCTGAAATTGCTTGTGGTTTCAATGCCTACATCCCTCTCAGGAAAGGAAAGTGCTCCAAAAAGTGCCTGCAAGTCCCCAGTTTCTTCACTCTAAAGATGGTACCTTTCAGATGTGCAGTCTTCAGAGTTCATTCAATAACTGCTGGAGCTGGCCTGGTATTTTACAAGGCTCATAAAACAGAGCCACTAGAATTGAAGTGTGGAGCACATAAAGCACAAAGAGACCTGCTGTGTAAAAATGAGCGCTAACCCTTTGATCATAAAGAGCCTGGCTGCTTCTGGAAGCGTGCTTCTAAGCCATAGCAAGTAGGACACATCTCCAGTGAAATAAAGCTTTAAAGCACAGGTAACTACCACAGGACACACAGACTATCAACTCAAAAAATTCAAAGGGAAAAGTACTTTCACTCACAAGGGGTTTCTTGTTGGTACTTAATATCTATGTGACAACAAACATACTGGCTAAGGAAAAACTCTGCTACGCTTCTATGCCACTGCCCCTTTTAAGCAGAAAATATCATAACTGATTATAATCAGACCTCTTGGCAGCTTCCCACAAAAATAATCACAAAAGGCTGGCCTTGATATATCTGATTAGTCTCAGGTAAAACACAAGAGAAAAATAACTTTAGAGAAGGAGGACAGCAAAAGGAAGAGTGAAAGGGAGGAAATTATGTACTGCCTTTATTTATTTAAGTGTGCTTCTGACCAAAAGAAGGAACTTTCTTTCATTCCCGTTATCTTTATGTGCCCAACTCCATTGGGGACCTAAATTCAGATTGAAAAATCTGAAATTTTTCTCTCTTTCACTAAACATCTGGCTGTTGGAAGCTCAAGCTTTGTATTCACATTGTTCTTAATTTCTGCAGTTTTTTAATGTAACTTTTAACAATCCCTAACACTCAAAAATGTTCAACGCTTTAAAGAAATCTATTAGGCCCAATCCAATCTTAATAAAAAATGGTCCCACACCACATTCATTCAGGAATAATGTGTAAAATAGATTTGAAAGTTTTATCACAAGCAGATTTTATGATACATTCTAGCAATAAAACTGTAGAAAACTTTCCAAAAGAAAAATAATAAAAAAAAATCTAACAACTTCATTATTCAAATTTGCATGACTGAAACACTGAAATTCTAATTTATTTCAACATTTGTTAAGGCTTATTTACAAAGAATTACTTAAAATACTTCTAAAATCTAAAAGGAGATCTTTCCCACTCCAAAAAAGTCACATCAGAAACAAATAAACAACAAAAAAAAAGCAAATATAAAATTCGGAAAGTCTAATTTTTGTGTACTCTCTAAGTAGTATTAAAAGGTCATGAATGATTCCCGGTCAGTTCATTACAAATGAATGAGCTCTTCCATTACTATTGAACAAGAATGCCCTTCTCCTGCTACCTAAATGGTTCTGAATCATCCTCAGTTATGATGCCACCACATTTTACTCTCAATTATGTGGTGCAGAATATGGCTCCTTCTCAATTAGAAACCTTAAAATTATGAATAGATGAAAACGTTTGACCTTAATGGATGGGCCAACAAGAACTACCCCTGTACAACTGCACAGTGTAGTGCATATGCAGTTCAGGAGATGTGAATGAATGCAGCTAATTCTTACTGTAGAGCTTGCACAGTTAAAAAGATGTAACGAGGGGAAAAAAATAACCCAACACTCCAAATCCACACTCAGCTGTAGAAACAGCCAGCTCACTCAACACCTCTGATCTGTACAAGACTCTGTAAACTGCAGAGATGTACTATTTTAAATTATTTCAGCGTGCAAACATGGCTTATGATTCTCAGAGAATGCATCTTTTGAAGCTTCAAATACTTACTGTACAGGATTGCAAATTCAGGATTACAAGTTCATGACAGTGATTTTGAATGTGTTTCAACGCTTCATCTTCTAACTGTATTTAGCAATTAAATCGGACATAGGAAAAGAAACAAGAAATTAAAAGCACAGCAAAGCAGCCCAAGGAACGTATACATCTTGTAATATTGAACAAAAGACTATAAACAAAAACGGTATTTTTCAATTCATGGAGATTTCAAAAACCCCAAATAAAATTTTATTCCTAAAGCATCACCCAAGCAGTTATGTACCTGTGTGCAACCTCTAAGAAATAGAGCTTTTAGTCCACTACACCCTTTCACCAGTGCTTCAATACCATCCTTCGTAATCTGATCACACCAGGAAAGATTCAAATGTTCCAGATTTCTGCAACCCTCACTGGGAGAATTAAAAAAATACATAAAGTTAAATCCAGTCTTCAAATAGTCATAACAGTGGGAAACCCAAATTAAACACACTGTTAGAAATTAATGATAGCCAGTGGACTGTGCCAGGCCTCCACAGAAAAGTCATGAGAAAAGACCACACACAAACATAGTCTACACCCCAGAAGTGCTAGATACAGGATACAGTCAGTGCTGATACACAGTATTAGGGTTCAGCACTGATTTTTTAACTTTATTAAATGTTGAACAGCTCTTTAAACACTTTTCTTTAACCCAAAACACTGAATTTCTTACCTTAAGCCTTTCAAAGAGCTGTTTGTGATGGCTACACAAGATGTCAGATCCAGATGTTTCAGCTTGGAACAGAATCTGCTAAGACTGTAACACGTGCTGCAAAACAGCAGACACACTAAAAATACCTTCAGCTACTTCTTTTCCAAATTTCCCCATCAAACAAAAAACCCCTTTGACTTACCTGTCAGTGATTTTTGTGCACCCATTTAGATTTAAGTGTTCAATGTTTCTACAGTTCTGTGCAAAGGTCCTAAAACAACAACAAAAAGCCGGAGAATATGAAGTCACAAGTTGCAATACAGTCACTAGAGTGCGCTCTGTCCCCTACCTCCTTCCATCTCAGTCAGAAAGCTTCAGCTTCTAAAAGCTTTATTTCTGGCATATACACCCCAGAACTGACATGCTTCAAACGCCTTAACTAAAAACATTAAGGGCATAAATAGAAAAGTTTAAATATCACACCAGTTAAATATTAAGCTGCTGGGGGGAGTTTTCACCCATCTCATTACCGAAGCCTTTGCAGTTCTCCTCAAGGAGCTTGCTCCCACATCAAATGAAAAGGATCGTACCTTGCGCAATACAGAAGTGGGACCTAAGCCTATCCGGGTACCACTGGAAAGCCCTGTGGATTGCAAATTAGTTATTTATGATTTTAAAAATTAAAATGCATCTGTGTGCACTACTGGGTATGAACTCTTCAGGATGACTGGAGCTATTATACTGCTAAAAAGCCTGTATGTATCACTATACTAATTATCCAGAAGAAATACATAAACTTTCTTTTCATCTCTGCAGAGTAATATTTACAGCTGCATTGCATTTCAGAACACTGTTTTTATGCCCATGTTTCCTCCAACTGCATGGATTTTATTGGCAGGGGGGGAGGAAACACACAAAAACAGTTTTGTCTGGAGGCTTGCCGTGGTTAACAGATCCGACTACACACTTAGCTGGTAACAACTTCCTGGCTCTCTAGTGTGGATTGAAAACAATGGAAAAAAACCCAGCAAGCAGTTATACTGGTGAGAGTTTCCACTTGAATTCTCAAAACAGCTATTCCAAAATTCATGTACTGGAGGGAGATTTACAATCGAGACACTCTTCAAATCACTTGGAAAGACGGTACACTCTGGAATAACTTGCAGGAACAGCAAACTTTGCCTCCGAGATTCAGGCATCAGGCATGTCCTGACAGAGCTGCCACAAACATTCAGTACTTACACAGCCAATACCTACTGTGGTAACTGGCTATTTTTAAACAAAAATCGATGTAGAAGAAGAAGAAATAGTGAAATTCATATCACCAACAAAACTAATGGATCTGGAAACAACTCAACACTAAAAGTCTAATACAAAAAGTTGCTTTCAGAACAAGTGTCAGAAAATTAATGCCACCTTTCTCATGCTCATTTTCTGAAAGTCTTAAAGCTCATGCATTTATCATTCATTTATGATATGACGTGATATTGATAATTTCAATTCATTCATTTGTGATATGGATAATTTCAATATCACCTGCTTGTATTTCAGAGGTGAACCATTTTCTTTCCTCAAGTGCCTCAGACACCACCATCTGCACCAGTTAGCTGCTATGGATGCCTGTGTGAATACTGGGAACACGCTGGGAGCCAGTCACAGCTAAGCCTGTCCTATTACCTGCTAGCACAGCCAGCTGTATCATCCCTACAGTGTACACATCCTACACACTGAACTGCTGGATACTTATTCTCAATATCTGTTTACAAAATATACCACTATTTAAAAATAACCTGTCTCCAGCCCTCCTCCTCTTTTCACGTGCCACTAATACCTGAACCCAGTTACAATTTTTGGTCCTATTTGTAACCCTCACTGCAGTCCCCAAGCTTTAGTGTCCTGAAAAGAACAGCTGGGAGCCTAAATCAAATGTGAAAACAGAGTTACTGGGTGGAAAATTGTTACCTGCTGTCCTGATTTTCTTCCTACACCCTTCTCATTGCCTTCCCCATTACCTCCTCTCCATGGTAGCTGTTACCTCTCTCGGAGCCTGCCTTCCTTCTCTCCTCCACTTCTGCTAGTGCCTTCCCTGCTGAGGGCACGGGGACCGTCTGTGCGAACGCTAAGGGAACTTGGAGGAGCACTACAGGAAGTTAACTGTGGTTGGGGTTACCTCCTTTTTGACAGCAGTTGTCAGTAATCTGGGAGATGGTAAAAATATGCACTTTCCCTTGAGGAGGCAAGACTGCCTGAAGGTGGAGACACACCATGGAGCAGTTAGGGGGATGTCCTAGAGGCAAGGAAAGCTCTGGGGAAATCTTTGGATCTGAAGCTAGGATGCCCATTTGGGTCACTAAAGCAATCTATTGCTTAACTAGTTGCTGAATGAATTTACTCTAGAGAAAAAAATCAGTGAATTAGACTTACTTATAAATTTTAGAAAAGAGCTAAAGGTCACAAGACACTAACTTAATGCCCACAGCTTAACAAAAATCTTTGTGCTTATTTTCCACCTAAGAATGGCCATACTATGTCAGACTGAACACCATCCAGCCCAGTCTCCTGTGACAGCAGGTAAAGAATAAATGCAAAAAGCCATACCCCAAGGCTTCTTCCAAATATTCTTTGAGCCCTGAAGTACTTGTAGCTTAGGGGACCTTCAGCTGAAGGTAAGATCTCTGGGTTTAAATACTCAGAAATATCCACAGAGGAATCTGGCTAACCAGTTTGCATATAGAAAAAGCTTATAGGGATTCAAACTATCTTCTGGGAACAAATTGTACAGTTACTGTGTAAAGAAGGGCCACTGTCTTTATTTAGAGACTCCCGAGATGATCCTGTTGCCTGCATGTTCCTGTATCAGGGCAAGAGAATCCCAGGCCTTTCCCAATTTCACAGGCACTCAATCGTATCAGTCTTTATTCTTCCTCCCACTGCCAGGGTCACCTCTAGTTCAGACTACAAGATAAACTGTAAACTGACTGACTAGTTACTAATCTCGATGAAATTAATATTGTAGAACACCAGAGTACAGGTCTGGAAACATTTTAACTGCTTGAAAATTGAGAGATGTCAACATAATACTAATGAAAGAAAAAGACACAATTCTGAAAAGCACAGTTCTCATTTCTTAGTTCATTTCCAGAAAATAACAGCAGCTATACTTTGATCTCAAACTGACGTCTCATTTAGTCATTATTAAGGTACTTAGTACTCACTTAAGTATCTCATTTTGGTCATTAGTCAGTACTTAGAAATCCAAACAAATGTCACAATAATTGCTTTGGGTCCAGACATTAGGAAATAAGTGATGTCTCAATCTAGGACTTTACTTACTTTAAAGAGGAGTCTCCAACACCAAGACATCCTCTCAGACTAAGTTGTCTCAGGAACCCACCACACCTTTTTGATATATTTTCCACAACACGGCCCTTAAAACAAATAAAGGAAAATTTTGTTGAGTTTTATTCTCACATAACATTCTAACCAAATTAAATATGCTGGGAGTGAAGACCAGCCCCAGCTACACCCCACCAGAACTACACCTCTTTGAATTTCTTTTGCTACTTTAAGAAACAATAGTTACCTGTAGAGCCTCTCCACTCGTGTTGAAGTGCTATTCAATTCAACCTTTAGTTCCCTCTTCCTTTTTTTCAGTCTGTCACGCGTCTCCATTTTTTGTCTCAGCAAAACCTACCCCTTAAGACTGCTAAAATGATCTTCAAGTGTTGCCAGATGGGTAGGGAACCTGAAGAACTGGCCCAGAGGTGAAATGGGAGGCATGCCCATTCCTCAAGGATCACAGTTACTATTACAGCATGTCCACAAAGACGTGCTTAGGCGAGTCCATCACTCGGAACGACAGCCTCGGCTAAGCCCCGTTTACAGTCCCTGCTCTAGGGATGGTTACCTCTGCATCTGAAAGGTGCTGAACACCTTGGTGGGAGCAACCACTTCGGTTGCCTCTAGAAGATTTGTTGGAGCCCACCTGCCAGTCTTCAATGTCATATATATATTTGGGTGTCTGTGCCTAATACTTGGGATTGCCAAAGAACTTCTCAGACTGGGAAGCTTACAGAATTTATGCCTTGTTATTTGTCAAAAGCTAAAGCACAGCTTACAAACAAAACATCCTACTCAACCCCACATTTGTTACAAAATGCTTTTTATTTAGATCCTGAAACTGTGTTTTGCTATACATGAGGAGTAAGCAGAATGGCACTGAATCTGCAAGCAGCATTATGGAAAAATGTTATTTAAACTACAATAAAAAAACCTGTATATTTTTAGGGTTTTGGTTGGGTTTTTTTCTTCTTTTTTTTGATAGGAAAAACAAGATGAGATCGCAAAAAGCAGGTGGCCATTGCAAAAACTGACTGGACATCACATTGAGTGTAATTTTAGGGAGGTAAGGTAAAAGAAATCAACAATGATCATTTAATAAACAGGTCTAATACCTAACAGCACCTTTTATTTTCTTCTCTCTCTCTGTCTTCTTTTAAAAGAGGAATTCTTATAAAATTACAGGTCAGTGGATTGGGTGTTTTTGTTTTCCTCTCTATACTGGTAACATTTTACTAAAACAGTAAGATGTTTCTTAAATTTTGTTGTTCACCCTTAATACCAGAGTCCTAACTAGCACTATGTGAAAATATTTTCTTACCAGAGCTTGTTTCTTAGTCCATAGGTAACGTTGTTTATCTTATCTCTCAAAAGAATTTACACCAAACCAAACAAACAGAAAAATCATTATACAAACAAAATTATGTATTTTTAAAGCTTTCTGATTAGTCAGAATTATTTCTCAGTAGAGGCCAAGTAACTTTACTGTAAGGATAAAGTCTTCAATGAATAACATATAATGCAAGTTCAATCTACATTGCAGAAAAAAGCCAAACCCCAATGCATCGTTCAAAGAGAACAGAAACAAATAATGAGATGTTTTCCCAAAATCATTTATTTCTTTAAGCATGTAAAAAACCCCCCCAAAACCAGCACATTCAAAAAGACAATGTAAGGGCATTCAAATGTGTTTAGCTGTTTCAATAATACAATGTAACTCAAAAAACCAGCTCTTCAAATTACCCAGCCTATATTTGGTTCCACATACCAAGAAATCCTAAGGCACATTTAACTTTAAGATATTCACACATCTTTGTGATAGAAAAGAAACATTTGATTCTTGCTAGGTTTTTTTCCCCTCACTTTATTCTCTACCATGAGGTCTTAA